CCCCCCTGAGGAACCCCCCGAAGGGCCCTCTGAAGAACCCTCTGAAGAATTCCCTGCGGGAGGCCGGTCGAGAGGAAAAATATCGTCCACGGCGTCGGTGAAGGCAAAGCCGTCGGCGCCGGGGATCGCCGGGGTGGGGTGCTCCTCCTCCGGTGCCTCCGCGTCGGCGGCCTGGTTCGTTGTTGGGGATTTGGCGGATCGCTTTTGGTTCACGCCAGGGCTCGGGTTTTTCTTTTTTTTTTTGAAGGAGGAGGTTGTGGTGGTGGAGGTGGTGGAGGTGGTGGAGGAGGAGCCTCGTTGGCTCGGCACGGCGATGCTCGCTTTGATTCCATTTTTCTTTTCGAGCATAGCACGCAATTCACCGGGCGTCTCGGACTTTTTGTCATTTTTGGATTTCCTGCCGGAGGTGTTGGCAGGGGAAGTTTTGGATACGGAGGGGAAATCCATTACGCCAGACTTCAGGTGGGGTTGCTCGCGCACCGAGCTGAGTCGGACGGCGGTGGTGGCGATTGAGGATGTTGTGAATAAGCGTCTTGGATGATTAAACGCGAGCTCGAAGCTCGCGGCGACCACAGATCGTTTTAACGCTGGTTGTGAACCCCGAGTGGTATCGGGATGGCCTCTGGGGAAAAATGAGCCCACCACATGGACGCGTCGCGGCGTTCGTAAAAGCAATGCATGGCGGAAAAGACCCGCACCGTGTAGCATACTGTGAAAAAGAAAAGGCAAAAAGATACTTGTCTCTGAAGTTGTATAAGTATCTCAACCTTGACTACATAACCCTATGAATAAAACAAGGACAGGTATAAAACAGTATTTACACCATAATTTACTTCAAATATTTAGGTGTTACCCCATGCACCAGTTTGTGATATTTAATTTATGAGTAATTCCCTTTAAACAACGAATGACTTATATCTATCCATAAATCTAAATAAATACCAACATAAGTATGATTAAACCATGCGAATTCAATCTAGTCATGGATTCGGTTGTTGTTGCTGTTTTATCATCCTGACAATGGTGGTGGCGGTCGTGTAAGTAAAGCGGTGAGATGGGCATAGGAAAGATTTCCATCCATGTCAGTAGGGGCGCCAGCCAGTAGTTGACTGGCCTTTTCCTTCCCAAGAACCTCCTCCGCGGTGTGTTGAACCTCCGCGAGCTTTACTTTTCCGCTTCGCTCCTTGTCAAAGGCGGCGCAAAGCTCCATTAGAAGTTTAATCAGCTTCGCCTGGGTCGCGATTCGCATCGCGTGTGTTTCAAGTTTTACAAAGGCAGAACTTAGCGCGGTAATCGGGAAAGCTTCTTTGAAATCTTCCGTATACGCCCGAAGAACCTCCTCCGTGGTGAGCCCGTCTGGCACCTCGCCTTTACCGAGGAGGAAGTGGATGTATTTTTGCAAACTCAACCGCCGCGCGGCCCCTGCGGCCTCGTCGAGCTGATCCACCACCGGACGAATAAGGTCTTCGGATTCAAATAGATGATAAATATGGATGGGAGTAATGGATTCCAGGACAATCATCAACATTTGCCGGACCTGAATGTCGTCCCGTGCGAGGGGAGAACAAAGAGCATCATAGACAATATCAAATTGATCAGCCGGCGTGTGGTAGGATTCCCGCAGGAGCATGTCCATCACCTTCGACAGTCCTTCCGTCGAGGTGAAATCGATCGGGGGATCCCCCTCTCCCTTGTCTTTTCCCGCACGCCCACATCGCTGTAGGAGATCCAAACAGGCCCCCGCCAGCCGTTCGTTCCCTCCTTTGGTATGGCACTCCACCTGATCCGAAGAGGAAGTGGTGAGGGGACTCTTCCACGTAAAATGCCGGAAAAAGGAGAAATTCAAGGTTTTCATCACATTTGGGAAGGAAAATAACCCACTACAGCACGTCAGAGAACGAAAGCCGGGCTTGAGAACCTGCGGCGCGGCGCATCGAGCGGGTTTCCAACAAAAAATCGACGCAGCATTGAATTTCATATGAAATTTTTTTTTTTTCTCTATTTATTTCGTTGGTTTAGGAAACCCAGATTGTTTTATTCGTTTAAACCACTTCCACCACTTTTTAAGGACGTGTGATGGCAATGGTTGGCAGGCGAGAATATCATAGTACTGTTGGTATTGAATTAAAATTAAACGGTTGGATTTTGATTGGTCTCAACCATTTCACTTGAAATACTCAAAAAAAATTTTCAATGGACATCCAAAGGAAGAAACATAAATCGTTGCGTTCTCATTCCAATAAGTTCATCACTTTGTACAGCGAGAGAAAGGGAATAATGGCTCTCTTATCACATTCGGAAAGGCATTTATACTTTTTATCTATAAAAACTACTGAAATACATATTCATTGTGGAACTTTAGTTAAGGCAATGGTAATGCACTCATTTAGTCAACTCAAAAGTATACAATCCCATAAATATATTTTTCACATCTTCCAGCGCAAAGAAAGAGTGCAATCCACGCCTTCTTACCTTTCTATAGTTTGATTTTATGTTGAACGGGAAATATTCGTTATAGCAGTGTCGACTTCTACAATAGAAATTGTGGGTATCCCGGTGGATTTGATTACCCTTTTTCGAGATGTTTCGATTTTGTCCGTTTATGTTCATCCACCACCACAGATGGGGTATGTCTTGTTTTAGTTTGCTTTCTATTCTGCTTTTTTAATTCAGTCAACTCCTTGTAGATGGCCTCCGCTCCGTTTGCAAGGATGGCATTATCCTCAAGAACAACCTTATGTTCTTTTTTTAAAGATTTCCACTTCTCGGAAAGTTTTTTGTTAACGTTCTGGGTTTGCTTGAGATCCTGCTGAAGCTGTCGAATTTCCTTGTAATAACTACGCACGATATCTTCCATTGATGGCGTTGATAAATCTAATTTTTCTTTTTCATTCTTGTCTGTAGAAACTAAATTGGTGTTCGAAAAATAGTGTGGAACTGGGGAAGATCGTTTGACGTCGCTGCCAGTCGGTCCCGTCTCTTTATCCGCGAGCTTTAGGGAATCAATATCGCCGAATGAACGCGGACAGGGGGAAGGTTGCAGGGCTGTGAATGCCGTCATGAGCTCATTTTCCATATAAACCAAGCGCTGCTGAAGTGAGGTATTCAAGTTCACGAGCGTCGCATAATGCGCTTGCGAGGACGACGTCGTTGGACTTGCATAGGGATGATCCTTGTCCAGAAGATCGGCATCGTCGCCACGAGGCTCCAAAAGGGGCATCCTCATCATTTCATCGCAAAGGGGCCCGATGGTGTTTAGTTTGGGGGGAATATCGCCCTCCCGGGATAGCATTTGCTCTAACGCGAAGACCCGACCCTCGCGCTGGCCGATCTCCGCGTGCAGGCGATTTAACTCCGCCTGCTGGATCGCCTCGCGTTCGCGGAGGGGCTGGAGTTCGGCGTACAACCCCTC